AATCACCCATACACCCACCTACACACATGCACAATATGATAGTAAATGTAACAACTGGGGGAAAAATCATCAATTTCATTTGCTAGCAGCCTTTCTCCCCAGATACCAATGGCTTTGTCCAGATCTGGGTACAACCTCAGTAACCACAGGGTCATCTGTAAAGCAGATGAACAAAGGGTGAAAAAATTAAACAGGATATATGAACGTGACTTTGTCCCTGTGAGCAATACAGACAGAACCACAGATCCAGCTCTGCAGAGCCCCAGTGTGACGATGACTTGGTAACACCATTCAGAGGCTCAAGGAAACCTTGTAATAAGGATGGAAATGGGGAGAATAGAGGACAAAATAATTAACAGAAGCCTATTAAAAAGGCAGTCACAATTGAGAGCTCCCTTATTGACAGTTCTATCTAAAACACGGTAATGCTTTGCAACGCTCTATGACTCTTCTTCAGCCTGCTAACCTTTTTTCAGGGGATGTTTTCACACACAGCTGTCCAGTTGTTAATATCCAAAGCATGTGCTTAGTATTTAATTACTCTTCATCAAAGACAAATAATTCTGAGGTCTTGCCAAGTTTATCAGGAAGTCATAAAACATGAAGTGGTCAGACAGAGGCTACATCTGAGGCTTTGACTTGTCTCAGTAGAAGGAGAAGTCTTGAAAAGATGGAAATTTCTGGGTTTTGTTGCTCCTGGCTCCTTCCTGCTCAGAGTTGGTGAGACAGTGGGTGGTGGATACAACCTTGTATTTAATCCGCAGACCAGCTCTGCTTGGCATCTCTAATTCTAAAAGTGTCCCAATGCAGATGGGCTCAGGAGGATCTGGAAGTCACCAAAGGGCATGGAGAGTAGCAGCCATGACTTCCAAGTCCTTGTTTTTCCTGTATAAAAAGGAGGGAGTATTAGTTGCCTACTGCCTGTACATTGCAACATCTCACTGTTAGCATAATTTGCTGTGGAAGTTCATCCTTATGATATATATGTGCTCAGTCTCTCTCTTTGTCCTCTGGAGAGGTCAGCCAGGAGACTGGCAAGCTGTGATGCTTACAATGCCAGAGAGCTGCTCTCAAGGTCAGGGAACCTCTGTCAGCATTACTGGGGCTTCCCATCAGTACACCCAAGAGAACCCCAGCATTTTGCCATCACAAGCACCCTTGCTGCAGGACCATAAGGGTCTTAAATCCTCTCACTACAGTCCCATAGCTGCATGTCTATACTATCACAGCAGAATAGAGCATGGCGTGGGGAAGAGCTGCAGGTATCTTCCATAGATAGAACATCCCTGACTTGCAAGCTGTACTGGCTGAAGTTGTTATTTTTGAAAAGCTTGTTTCTAGAAATTACAAGTAGGCAGTGGAAATCTGTTTACATCATGAGGGCAACCTGAATAGCTGACATTTGACATCTTTTTGCATTAAAAACAAACTTTCCAGCCCTCCATCTACTCCTCTGTCTGGGCTTTCTAAAAAGATTTCACAGAGAAGGATGGAAACAAAGGCTTCAAAGAATGCATATTACCTTTAGAATGATAGGAGGGCTGTGTTCTTAGGGGATTATACTAATTCAGTCAGATCAGGTTGTCACTTGTAAGGACATGCAACTTACACTTTAATAAAAAAGATTCCCTTTTGTAGTGCAGGTAAAGAGGCCGGGAGAGCTCTCCTATAAATTACTGCTCTACAACTTGGAAAGAGCTAACAAATCATCTGTGACCTGTGAATCTAATTTTACTGTGCAAAGAACTTTTCCTCCAGGGCTCTTTTCCTGATACGTGGATCTATTTGCCATTCTTCATTGACATAAACCAATTTCTGTGGTTTGCCTGTCAATAATTGTACTTAACTTTTAATGTGTAATAGTAAAGCCATTGACCTTCAATAGAAGCGGGTTCTTAAAGAAACAGCTTTCATTTCCCCGGGGCTGTGCAACATTTTGCTTTAAATACACCTCTGAACTGAAATGTGTATTTAATATACTAAAGGATGGCTGTGATGTTAGGGGTTTTGTAATTCTTCTGTGGATGCTACTTTCCATCATTATCAACTAAGAGTTTTACACACGGATATCTTGCTTACTGTCTGAAAATAATAAGATGTATATAATATGGCACGTGATACTTTGGGAGTCAGTGTGGAGTGGGTACCGGCTCATGCTAGTACGTCCTAATGATGCTTTTCACTCTGTCTCTTCATCTTCCTCCAAACGCTCTCCCTGCATGACTGATTGTCCAGAAAGGTTACACTAAGGGAGAAGGTATCAACACACATTTTATAATGATGTCAGAATAATTCCAGCCAGTATCACTAACACAGGAGAATTGGTTTTACTTCTACAGTTAAAAGAAATGTGAACGGTCTGAGATATGAAAATATATAACTTGTGCATGTAAACAACCTCTGCCCTGCAATTGAAACTACAGACATACTGTCCTAATGAAAGCATTTCACATTTTGTGGTGATAGCTTAGATAAAACTGATTTCTGAAGGCACGGCCACCCCCTTTCCCTTCTTTCTCGCAAAACTCTAATCATTTTACAGTGCAATGATGATACAGACACAGCCTGTCTTTCAGACAGTAATTTTTATGTGTTAGACTTTGCTAAAATTAAGCAGGTACATGTTAATGTCACAAGGGTAAGATTTTGCCCCACTGATTAAAGGCAATTTATGGAAGGGAGGTGGGGAATTTTTATGTTAATGCTAATATTCTGTTCTAATTTATATCCAGGCAAACCTAATTTCAATATAGTTAGTAAAGAGTTGCACCAGTACCAATTCTGGTTCGCAACACACTCAAGCTAGCATTGTCAAACCTAGGATAGGATGTAAAAAAATTACAAATTCTACCTGACAATATGCCATCAGCAGGAACTTCTGCAATGTCATTGCAGAACCCAAACTTCAGGGTCAAGCTGTATCACTCTTAAGGTGTCCAGATCACACTTTTTGCTACTGGCATTTTTAAGACATTATTCTGAACAGGTTATTTCTCCATAAGTGGTAGAAGTTGATGGCAAATGACAATTTTTTTGAATTGTGTAACATCATTAGCGCACTGCTTTTATCTGCTGAAGAGAAACATAATTCACAATTGTGTTTATTAACTAATCAGAATTAAATAAAGTTTTGTAAACCAGAACAAATTGGACAGGGAGAAAACTCTTTCTGAATTTGTTTTTTCCAAATTTGTATTTGTTTTTTCTGTATTTAAATGAAAACACACACATTAATTTTTATGTACTTCAATAAAAGCTGAGCTATTGAGTTGAGAAGATGTTCTGTTGTGGGTTTTTCTGAGGTGTTCATGGCAAGAAAAACTCTAGGCAGATCCATTCAGAAGCTCTGGCTGAATCAGAGTTTCATTGCAGAGGGCTTCTATCCTTATATTGCCTGACCTAGCAGATTGAAAGACAGACTAAGTTTGACACTGGACAGGTCCTCAGCACATATAAAGCTGCCTGCTTCTGCTACAAAGGCTCAAAGCTGAGCTATGGCAACCCAACTGGTAGCTGAAAGCAAACCCTAAATTGAGTTTCCTCTTTCTTATTTGTATCTGGGGAGTTTTAATGGCCCTCAGCACCTATTTAAATCTAAGGAGGTAGAAAAGCAGTTTGCATGATAATTGCCTTTGAGTGGCAATTAATTGTCACTCAATAATTAATATCAGAATACCTGAGAAGTGGAAAATAATGACATTAGGAAAGGAATTACCAAAGTAAGACCAGGAGCACAGCTGTCCTGGGGAGGGGACAGCTAGCAAAATGCCTCTATGAAGCAGAAACAGAAGCACGAACAAGTGAGGTGGGCATAGAAGTGGTCAGCTGCTGATTCCGGTGTTTTTCCAGCAAATCCTTATCTCCCCATGCTTTGGTCTGGCAGGGAGCCACCACACAGCATGGCTTGCTTTACCACTCCATGCATTTTGAACATATTGGCAAATTTCATTCCCACCCATTAGACTACTTGTGCTAGCACCCAGGTTAACTGATCTGACAGTGAGTCTGTTTGGGTCCTCTCTCTGTCCCCATCAAGCTGCTGTGGCAGTAAGTCCTAAGTGATCTAAAGGAGATAGTTCCCTTCTCCTGACTCCGGATGGCTGTGATGGTGGCTAACAAGCATATTGTGGGTGTTTCTGCTGTGTTTAATGAGGAAAAGTCATGTAAGAGTGACAGGAAAAGAAAGCTGCAAACATGGGTTGTACTGTTGGCTTTGGAAGTGCTGAAATGTGGTGTTGTGCTGATGCTTTCCAGACCTGAGTGCCATAACTGTGGGGCAATTGCTAAAATTTCTCGGATGTGCCTAATAGTGCATGATTTCATGGTATGACATGAGATGAATTATCAGCTTGCCTCTGCCAAAAGGACAGTCTGGTCACCCCCTCCCACCTCCTCATTCCCGCTGCAACTTTTGTAGCCTACCTTGAGCCAGAGCTGGATCTCATCTGACTGCACAATAAATTCAACAGATTAAATGGCAGGAAATGCACCCAGCATATAAAGGAAATGATATGTCTCAAAGTTAGTGATCAGAATGGGTTTGCTCTAAGTACAATAGAGTGTCAGAGCCAGCACTGGACTGGGTAAGGGAGGAGTGGAGGGTGGAAAGGGGTGCGAGATTCCTCCTTTTCAGCAGCAGGGAAAGCTTTGCCCAGTGCAAACTATCATAAAACCATACATGAACATACCTCTGTGGTAGTGTACTGAATTGCAACTCTCTGCCTTCAAGTTTTTACATTAAATATTGCCCTATACAAATATTAATCATCAAGGAACAATGTACTTCACCATCAGGAACTGGAGTACTTCCACAACAAACCAGATTTGAAACATCCCAGCACTGTTCCCTCAGATTATCAGAGACAAAAGTGAAGGAGAAAAAAAAAATCAACAATCTTCTAAGTGTTAATTTTTCTGTTTCCTAGAGAAAGATAAAACCAGGATTTAACTGTTGTTCTTTTTATGTGAAGGGCCACTGATTATTCCAATTCTTGTCAAAGGTGATGGAGCTGACAACATGAAGGTGGGGAAAAGGGACAGCAGTACTTGCTTCAGTCTGAGTCTCAGTCTAAGCTCATAAGAAAACAACATGAAAACATGGATTAAGCACAGAGCAATGCCCACCGTATCACCAGGTGAAGGTGAGTAAACCAAGGAGAGCAGAGTATCTGTAACTTAGAGGGCAAAAGGGTATTTGGCTTGTTCATACTGTGGTTGTGCTTGGAGGCAGAGGTTATCTACCACTTGGGTAATGTTGCAGCTTCTGACAGTCATGGAGGAAGAGGATTCTCACCCTGAGGGGGTGTTGGGATGTAGCCTGGATTTGTGCATGGGAAATCAGTTGTGTTCCAGAGAAAAAAAGTATGTGCACAGCCAATACGAATGTGATCTGACTGAGAAAATGGTGGTTGAAAAAAACAAAAAGGAGGCACTGGTTGAAAAAAGAAGACAACATAGACTAGATCATGGTCATATCAAACAACAGCTGTTCTTTTTAGGGGAAATAAATACAAATAAACTTCCTACAATTAACCCAACATCCCAGGCTGACTTTCTTGCAGGACACAAATCCAATCTGATATCTGCTAATGTCCTATGACTCTCCGCTTCCTTCTCAGGTATACCAAACTTAGTTGGGCCATAACTGATCCCCTGTGTTGCCTCTGCCCCATAACACCACAGCACACTGCAGGGAGCTTAAGGGAAGGAATACCAGGAGGAGCTGGGGGTCAGTTGAGGGAGCCAGTCTCAGTGCCACTGGAGCAGTAGTTACATCTTCCCATGCCTTGGTAAATAGTTGTCCCAATGAAGAAATGTCTTTGTCTTTGAACCAAGCCTTGTATTGTTAGCCAGGACACAACCAGTGATGGCACAAGGCCAAGTGATGACACCTACAGCAAGGGAGAGAGTATGATTAGCACCTCCAGAAAGAGAGCTAATAGGCATCAAAATCATTCTGACTACCACAGAAGCTGGATTGCCAGACAAAAGTTGAACAGAAGCAGTGGAAGCAAGAACTGGGGAAGAAAATGAACATTAGCTAGTTTTATTGCCCCCTGGAGGGAAAAGGATGAGAAGAAATAATGCCAAAAGCACAAGAACAGTTGATAAAGGTTTACTCAGCTTAGAAAATCTTATTCTTTAAACATTTTTTATTCGATGAAATATAAATTAAGCCATCAGTACTTGAGGGGGTTTTGGTTTCTGAATAAGTACAAATCTAAATATGTTCTACTTGGTGTCTGAAAAGCTTGAAAGCCTGAGAAGACTTGAGATTATCCTAACTACACAAATAGGGCATTGTAGGAAATGGCGTCCTTTATTGCTTACTCAGTCCTAGGTAAAATTGTGCACAGTTACTCCTTGTATGGAAAGAATATATGCAGCACTCAAAATATTTGGAGTAGATCTTTAGCTAAAAATGGTAAAAGTGGAATTAGTCCAGTTTACAGCAACAGATCATCTATGTATCTGAGAAAAGTGTAACAGAGGAACAAAATGCTGTTACATCAGCTTGTTCCTTTTGTTTTCAGTTAATTCCCACAACACTGCCTGTGCACGCTCTAGGCATTTTTGTAAAGATTGAGTTTAAATTCACTGTGTTGCTATGCACTTAACTATGGGTTTATATTTCCGCTAAAAGAATTCATGTGTAGGGTTGTTGTTTCTGTCAGACATGAGTCCACAGAGGAATAAAAAGCATAAAAAGATCAGATAATTTAGAAAACAATGATAAATGCCCAGCAACATAATTGAATATGTTGTAAATTTTAAATATAATTTATGGTTGATCCTGTCCTGTTTCTTCTCTATATAAGCCCATGGTGCTGAAGAAGTAGTAATTCCCTCTGTCACTAGCTGTGCATAAGAAGAATATGGTTAAATACCCTGGGTGCTCAGCACCTCCAGGGGTGCAGCAAGATTTGATGCGAGGCATGCCAGAAAGCCAAGTTTAAATTCCTGAATGCAAAACTTCTGTTTATCATTTTTCACAAACAGTGAGCCACTGAGGAAAGACAGGGCAGGATTTTGCTTCAGGATAAGCAGCAGCACAGGGAAGGAGAAAAAGCCAACCAGCAGCAGTAGATGCAGTCCGGGTCTGTCTATGCTGTCTTTCGTGCCGCACAAGAGCGCTCTGGCAAAGACAACCATCTCCTGTGGCGGAGTGCACATTCTGCTGTAGCAGGCATGACAGCGAAGGTTGGTATCCATAGGGACCTCCCTTGAGGAGATCAGCCTGAAGGGGCATGAAATGTGATGAACAGGGTACATGAAATTTATGAATTCTGGCTGACACACGGAAGTTGTTGCCTTGAAAAGGCTGCTGCAGGGGGTTGGACTCCTTTGCTTGCTGAGCAATTGAGGGGAATAGAGGGCTAACCTTCAGAATTTGGGCCAGACAAGCCAGCAGGCTGACTGAAGTCTGGGAAGACTCGCTGGCATTAAACATTACCAGCAAATTCATTTTTCCACCCTACAGGCTGTGTGTGTATGTACGTGTGTTGTTGATTCCAGATTTTAAATGCCCCTGAAGATATACCCAATGGACTGAAAGTGCCCATGAGTTGAAGATAACATTGAACTTGCAGATGGCAATGGGAAAGGGCTGCACTGGCCATGGGCAGAGAACTTATATGTTCCAGCATTTCATCTCCCTGAAGAAGTTACCAAAAACCAGCCTGTGCCCAGGAAATGTGCTAAAAAACATAGAAAATGAAAAGAAGCTCACAAGTAGTGGGAAACCTGAGAAATTACAAGTTGAGTAGGTTGGGATCTGGTGCAGAAGCACAGAGAGTGTCCGTGTAGGAGTTGGAGAATTGGCTTCTTAAGCCTGTGACATTTCCTTTATAGGCATCAGCCAAAATGGGGCTGGGTGCTGATGGAAAAACGCTTGGAAGGCACCCAGACCAAGGAACATGCTTGTTGCTCTAATGTCAGCACTGACTAATATGTGTGAAGGTCTTTGAAAAGAAGGGCGGAAAAGTGACTGACCTGGCCCAAGGGGAGGCATCTTTCAAAGGACAAAGACATGGCAAGACATCTCTAAATTGTATGTATGGTTCTGCCATCACCAATCTAACTTGTCATGTACACCTGTGAGAAACTGGACGTGAGAACACAACAGAAAAAGTAAAAGAGTAGTCTGCTACTTACAGTGACTATGAGGTTTTCCTATGATTCTTCTTTATGTCTTGGAGACAAAGAGATGGAACCTGGAACAGGTTGCCCAAAAAAGTTGTGGATCCCTGGAGGTGTTCCAGGCCAGGCTGGATGGGGCCTTGAGCAACCTGCTCTAGTGGGAGGTGTCCCTGCCCATGGCAGGGGGGTTGGAACTTGATAATCTTTAAGGTCCCTTCCAACCCAAACCATTCTATGATTCTATGCCTTTGGCACCAGCCATTCCCACTTAGTAATACAGATCTCAGTAGCTCAAAACACTAAATGCATTAGATCAAGTAGAATTTATCAGATGGTACAACATGTTACTTTCTAATCACCACTGTTAAAGAGATCAAAATCCAGTGTTATAAAATTATTTTATCTTGCATCTAGTGAGTCTTACTGTATTTACAGAAGTAATTTTCCCAACACAGAATGCTTCTTGTCTGTATTTTTCCCAGTATCTATTGCCCAACTGAGTAATTGAAGGTGCTTCAAAAGAAAGTAGATAAAGAGATTTTGAAGAAAGGAAGCTACAAAAAGTAACAGCTAATAGCTATTAATTATTTCCTCTTTATGTATGTAACACACAGTTTTAGATGCACGTACTTGTAAAGTTATTATACAGTTGTTATGGAAGCGTCAAGCTGTTCACCAAGCCAATGCAAAGCATTTTAAGCAGTACTAAGTGTTAAACCAAATGAATTAATGTGTTTTTCATGGGGTTTCTTTGTTTGTTTGCTTGCATTTTATTCCCAGGAGAAAATCAAAATGAAAACCAGAGGCCTGTTCCTGCCAACTTCTGCTCCGCTAAACCATCCCATCGATTGCAACAGAACAACGGAAATGTCTAAGAATAATCCACATGAGCAAAGTTTAGGAATGCCAGCTACCATGACTGATTGCAATGCTGTCTTCAGTGCGGTGTTGATTATATAAAGAAAATGCTTTGATTTCAAGACATAAAAAATCAATTTCAGTTTTATTATTATGTGTCTTGTACCTAAAGCAGACTGGGCCAGATTCCCTGCTACCTTGCGTGCTATATAAACATTAGCTTTCCATGTAACAATTTGCACTCAGCTTGAATGTGATGTCAACAGCCAAATGAGACAGATGACCAAGAATATGGCTCTGACTACTACATCATGATGATAAAAAATAATGGGTAGCTTCATTTTTAGGGGTTGCCATTCTTTTTTACCTTTTGTGGGAGATTCGAGATAATATTTGGAAACATTGGACTACAACAGTGTGAGACCAATTCTTTCACAGAGGAAATATCTGGCTTCCTGAACAGCTGGATAATTAGCTTCCTACAAGTGGTGTCCAGGTCTGTTCAGATCCTGTGATGAAAGAGAGTCTTTCTGTATGTTACTGTCCAGGTACAAAACATGGCCCACCAACACCACACTGCAAGCATTCAGTCCTTCACACATAGTCTTGGAAATCAGCCTTGCAGTGTAAGACATGAGGAAAAACTATTCCTCGCTTTTAAAAGTTCTAATTGAAAGTAATAGCGACATTTCCCCATGAAGTCAATAGTTTGTCCATTTTGTTTATTCCTAAGGGCCTCAAGAGAAGGTTAAAACAAGATTAGAAAAACCAAGCAAAGTCATTTCCACCTTCAACAGCTCTACTGAAGTCATACAATGAAAATACCTTTGTTTTTGAGAAATTGTTACTAATTCAAGTAACTGAGATTGCATGTCTCGCTATTGCTCCACAAAGAGAACCAGCACACAACTGTTAATAATTATCATCATGTTTACAGTACTGACAGATTGTAGATTAATTAGACAACGTATATATGGAAGGGAGAGCAAAGTGAGTAAAGGATTATGTTTTAGGATGATGTGATGAGGCTCATGTGAATTTTTATTGGGCATTTACTAGTTCTATTTAGCGGTCACCTGTACAGCGTTTCCTGAAAGAGGGTTTGGGCCACTCCTGAGGAGGAGACTGAATCTCAGAAGGGTGAAGAAGGGGGATAAAAATAGGTCAGCCACATGTAGTCCTAGGTCACACTGCTAAACAGTTCATATGGTAGAAGAAACCTGTGTTTAGGCACCTGACTCTCACCTTCAGTGTTTTAGATTCAAGAGAAGCACTTCTGGTAAGGCCAACACCTTCTTACAAAGAAATTAATTCACAGACTAACAACCATGTCAATTAAAGTGAGGAAGAAACCACTGAGCAACTTCCCATCCTCAGCCTTTTGACATCTAAGCATACAAGATCTCTGTTCAGAGACAGGATGAGTCCAGATAATCTATGAAAGTCCTGCATGATACACAGTTGTTCACAAGCAGTGATAGCTCACTCAGCAACCACCATCCTTCAGCAAAACGTCAGGTGCAAGGAATGGATCCATCTCCTTCATTAACATGTGTCACATTTGTACCTGTGTTTTATTCTAGAGTAAATCCCTTTAATTAAACTGTGCTATGAAATGCTTTCTTCATAGTATATGTTACATTCCCATAGAAACATTCACATTGATCTTGGATTTTTTTTTTTTTGCCTTTAGCACATTTAACTTCTGGGTCTGTAGTAATCTGACACACTTTCTTTAACTATGAGAAAAATCTGTCTTTTTTGACTACAGCAGCACTGATTGATTCCATGCTTACAGATGGATTTTTTTTTATGGGCTCTTATTCACTGATGCTTCAGAAACCTATTGGTTGGTTTTATTCCCACAGCTGAAATAAACTGGTGGCACAGGAGAAAACTGCCACATTTGCTGAAACGCCACAGACAAATTGCTATTCCTTTAGCTAACCTTATTTTTTTTTTTTATTTTCCAAGAAATGTGCTATGTTTCTAAAGAGACCTATTTCAAGAAAACGGAACACTCTGCCTTTATAAAGAAAAATGAGATAATATGGGGGTGCATAAGGAGTAGAAGTATTTCTGGTTATTCTAAAAGTTTTTATTCTTTCCCAATAAAATGTTATTAAAAAAAAAAGGATCCAAAGTTCAGTGCTGTTAGGTTTTTTAAAAGACTTGCAGACTTAACTCATTATTCAGGTGAGTGGTCCAGAGAGGTCAGCAGGCCCGTTCCAATGAGTGATGACATTTAGCAAACTCTTGCAGGATGAAAAATTAAAATGCCATTCTATAAGTTGCCTCACACTGGCGGATACCCCCGTGTCTGCAGTATCTTTCGGAATGGGCACAGGATTCCATTCAGGTGCTGACATTTTGGATAAATAGGTAATTCTTTAAATGCCATAGCATACTGGCTGTGCTTTGAGGTCTGTTCATGTGAATGAGGAGAAGAATGGTAAGGCTGAGTGTATACATAAGCCAATGAAAGACAGTAGCTGTCTAACTTGGGCCCTGTTCATTTGGGGAAAAGGTCCTTACACTTTTGCTCTTTTCAGTTAAATTGCTTTGCCATTATCTGTATCTCTAATGTTCTTGCAGGCTTCTCCTGGGAACAGAGAAAGGAATGGACATATTAAGGGGATCAGACAGCTGTGAGTACAGAATCTATTGTGTGGTTAGAATCAAATTATTATGGGTCTGATCCTGGGGCATGCCCAGAATCCACAACCCTTACTAAAGTCAGAATCAGGAGGCCTCTGCACCTCACAGATACAGGCTAAGGTGAAATAAGGAGTCACACAGACTGTTACTAACATTGACAGATTTTTTTTAACTAAATCCACAAGAGATTTAAGCTCCTAAACCCAAGATACCCAAAGCAGTTTGTCATTTGTGTATCTCGACAAATATCTATATTAATTCTTTTGCCTACACGTCTACCACTGCACACACAACTGTGACTGAGCTCTTTGGTCCATTCTACAATATTTTGACCTCATCGGGTGAATAGATGTTTTCACAAAGCTGGGCTTCACACAACAGGGGTGAGATTTCATACAAGTCAGCTGGAATGCAGTTGTTAGTGAGGAAACCACAAAACTTGTAATTAAATTGTTAACTACCCTTAACTTGAGCAGCATTCAGATCTGGTTCAGGTCCGCTTTTGCAGGTGTTTGTTGGAGGGCCTGCTCACCTTTTTAAAGTTCATGATGTCCTCACTGGAACAGCATACTGTTTACAACACAAAAAATTTCTGAGACTTAAGGATTACCCAGATTTGGTTACACTGATGGTGAGCTGCAGAGGGTAAGAGTAATACTAATGCAATGATAAGATGACTGTGACATTAACATAATTGGTTATTCCAAATATAGGTACATTTTTTTCTAACTACTACAGGAGTAGTGAATTGTTGTACATGGTCAGTGTGGATCTCACCTGAAGCTGAAGGGGGCCTTTGCTCCCAGTAGGAATCTCTCTTGACTATTTCCAAACAAAGATACCAGTCCTGGAGATTTTCTTGTTACTTCCTCTTTCTTCCTCCCATCAGTAACTGTAATGTGAGGTGATGGTTGCAAATAATTATTCTTCCTCCTTCCTTTAAACCCCCAAAGTTCCATTTTGTTTGCTTTGTTTATTATTCCTCCCAATCATACCTCTCACTCTTTTTTTCCAGGATTCTTTCCCATGTATGTACAGTATGTACAGCCCTTGCCCAAGTTCCCATACCCTAAACCCTCTTCTGTCTTCATTCCCAGATGTCTCCCTCCCTCTCCCTCTCTTTCTCCCTCGCACTTTTTCCAATTTCCTTTTTCTCTCTCCCTCTTAAATTCTCTTTTTGCATCCTTTGGCTGTGGCTGCCATGGTATAAGGGGGAACTGGTGTTCCATCTATTGCAGTTCATGCCCTCACACACTCAAACATGGAAACTCCAGAGTCACCACACTTTTCTCTGCTGTGAACAGAGAGACACATCCCACCAGCACAGCACATCTATATTTACTGATACAGAAAAGCACTCTGTGGCAACAGCAGCCTGGGAGCCATTCTTCCAGTGGCTGGCTACTAATAATGAATGATGATTGCTTTTAGTTCTAGAGTGAAAGATGTTTTCATGGATACATCTTCATTTGCCACCCTGCTTCTTGTAGTGTCAACTTCAGAGAGTCATGGTGATGACTGGTGTAATAAACCAATAATTGGGCTATTTAAACTTGACGATTGATCTTTTGCCATCATCGTTAAAGAAAAAATACCATGTTAAGTTCTTTTCTGATTGATTTTTTTCTAAACTTGTCAATTTACATCACTAGGTTTTAAGACAGCATTGATTTGAGCAAGCAAACAGATGCAGAAATATTAGTGAAGGCATAATTAGCATGCTTTTCCCCCCTTTTCAAGATTGACTTAACATACCTCACTGAGAGTAGGTTTTTTCAGTTAGTAACCAAACATTGTCTTAGGGAGGATGCCATCTTATGGCATTTATCCCATCCTACTTAGACAGAGATGGATGTTTTTAATGCAATTCATTTCGTAGCAGACACACTGTTATTGCTGAATACAGACTTATACCCAAAGTAGGACATTTCCTGGTCAGACTTGCAAAGCTGTGACAACAATTTCCCTGAATCACTTAATTAGATGCTATCTGTGAAACATTTATAAATGCAATTGCCTTCTAACAATATATTATCTTTTTCCACCCCTACCCCTGACTTAATTTTGTGTATCAGTTTGCTTGTAGATACAAAGATTGAGGTCTTGCCATCACTTGAAATGAAATAGATTGATTTATCCCTGACTATTGTAATTATGCCACAGTAATCACTTTGCCCCAGAGATGACCTCCACCTGGTTCCCAGGCTGGAGTTGTAATTTCGTTTCTTTGCGAACCAAGATCCTCATTCATCTCATCAGGTTACTCTAAGCACTATCTGCAGCGGGATTGTTGTATTGCTTTTAACTGCAGGCTGGACTGAACCAGCAATTGTCTCTGGCATCATAAAGGATGAAAATCAGAGTTCATCTAAGTGGGAAGACAAGGCTCCCTAAAATT